GCTAGCTCCCGCCTCTTGGAGCCAGCTGTCAATCAACAAGAGAGCGATCTTCTGCGCCCTCTGCTGGAACAAATGCAAAAGATCAGCCAACATTGACAAGCATGGAAGGTGTTCTCAATACTCAGCAGACTCAGTTAAACGATACAGCTAAGAAAATGGAAGAAATCGCGCAAAAGTGCTTGGTCTCAACAGAAGATACTAAAAAAGTCAAGAAGAAGGTTGATAAAATAGAAAAACACCAAGAGATGCAAGATAAAAAGTTATTGTTGCTTCAAATGGAAAAATCAAATTTGATTCTCCGATTTCAGGGCATAAAAGAACAGGAAAAAGAAGATCTCCGAGGCATTTTAGTGGAAGCCTTGGCAACACTCACCGGCTGGGAAGCGGAAAAAATAAGCAAGTTAATGGATCTGATTTACAGAGCCTATTCCAACTTTACAAGGTTGAATAACCTGCCGGCAGAAGTGGTGGTCAAGTTCACAAAGCAGAAAGTTCGGGATCAAATATTAAAAGCATCTTCATCGCCCATGAAGATCGGAGAACAGACAATTAGAATTTTGAAAGATGTTCCGTTTGAAATTCGAATGAAAAGGAAAGCATACAAAGGACTGACCTTATTCTTGCAAAAACATCAAATTAATTATCGCTGGTTGATTCCAGAAGGACTCACTTTCAAGTTCAAAGATAAAAGGGAGAAGATTGACTCCATTTTCAAAGCTCAAGACTTTTTGAAGAGGCACGCCAGCATGGAGGAAGCAGCACTCGCCACATGGGAGGAAATGGACAGCGATAGAGACAGCGGATCGGAGGGGGAAGTGAAGACCCCGGAGGATAAAGGAGCAGGGAAGGGTCCATCATATAACCTGAGAGACGTGAAAGGGAGGCTGCCCAGACCATGAAGACGAGTTCGGAAAGCGCATGGAAAAGACTTTACTAACAAAAACCAGAGGGACACTACTAATCTACTAACAGTATTTTATTTTCTTAACAGATAGATGAAAGACGATTGACAACTCGCAGAAGAAGCCAAAAGAAGATTTGTGTATTACTAATAAAAGATTAACATACTAATAATATCACCCAAACTTTTCTTTATCCCACTATATACCTTCCCCTTTCTTATATGAAAAAAGAATAAACTGTCTCCTTTTTAGGAGAGTCAATAAAAAAAAAGAAAGAAAGAAAAGCACTCCCTGCTGGGATGTGAACGCAGGGTCCAATCTCTTTGAAACAGTGCAGCAAGAATGCCACTGGACATAGATAGGAAGCATAAGCCACGGACTGGTTTGTAATCCTGGGTTACAAACCCATTAGCTGGTTCAAATGTTACTGCTTTCTATGAACTAAAGAGGAGCTAATTGAATAAGAATCTAGTGAAGGGAAGGAGGACTGTGAAACACGCACTCCCCCTTCCAGGAAACAGCGGTTAGGCGTTGGGTGCAGAATAGCCACCTGTGCCTACAGTGTCGAAATTGTGGCAGTCATGACTCTCAGAACTTCCCAACTGAGCACACCACTGTGGGTGATTTGGACACCATTCGTATGCTAAAACTGGTGCCGGCCATTCGCTGGAAGTGGTGCTGAGACACAAGGTGGCTCTTACTAGCTGCAGCCATGAGGCAGACTCTGTACAGTGCATACTTTGAAGGCCAACATGATAAATTGCAACCAAAGCAAAAACAGAAAATTACACGCACTTCAGTTTCCCAGGAAGGTCAGGGGAAAAAAGCAGTACACAAGTAATACCACATTAAAACAATGAATGTAACAAGGCCACTGGTTCAGTTAGTATCAAATGGAGTTTGTGCTGCCTTTTCTCAAGTGGCTATATTTCCAAATGGGTGTCAAATGCTTTATGTGGATGTACATGAGTTTGGCATAAATATGGTTTTGTCATACAACACTAGAGGGGCAACATTAAAGCAGCTCTGAAATCAATGCAGTTTGTGTTTCTCCGAACACCTGATTTACAGGATAAGAAAGAGAGTTCTTCCTTTAAGGTTAGTGGAGAAGAGCACAACAGGCTTTGAAACGTGCTCAGGGAGACCTTGGAAGTCTTGCTCAGTTTTTGCTCTTTCCTGGGGGAACGACGTCTCCCCTTAGTTCCTACAAATGTTTCCCAAAGACAGAGTCATCTCATGCTCTCAGAAAGGTCCGAGGTCAGAGGTTCTATTCATTAGGGACACCTCTTTAATGTACTAATTTCTGGCAATCAGAATTATGAAAGTACTCTTAAGCATTTAAAAGTGTATTTCTTGCTAAAAAAATATCATCCTGCACCAAGCAGCTCTAATTCTGCACGCAATTTGCATATTTATGTACTTTGTAAAATGTATTTTGGTATTGCTAGCCAGGGGGAGGGAAACAGCTATGCCCTGGAAGGCTTAGCAAGTCCCCCCTGTGGCTTTTGCAAATTCAGCAGGCCTGGCCTACACTTTCAAGCACAGCCCTCCCAGTTAGAAGGGACAGAAACCTGCTGTTATTAAATGACACAGCTAAGCATCTCAACCATACATACAGCCCCCATTATCGATGGGAGGAAAACAGGGGAGTAAACAAAACAACTGATTAGCCAAGAAAGCCAAAACTTGGGTTTTGGAATGCTCAAAAGTTGCCAATGAAAGAAAAGTGATAACTAGTTCATCATACTTATCACCATAGCAAAGCCAAACTGCAATACTCCCAACATTTCCAGACTGAAAAGCCAGGACCTGGTCTGGCTCTGCAGCATTCCACAAATGAAGAAGAGGAGATTGGATTTATACCCACCACCCTCCACTTGGGAGTCTCAGAATGGCTTACAGTCTCCTTCCCTTCCTCTCCCCACAACAGACACCCTGTGAGGCAGGTGGGGCTGAGAGAGCTCTGAGAGAACTGTGACTGTCCCAAGGTCACCCAGCCAGCTGCATGTGGAGGAGGAGTGGGGAATCAAACCCGGTTCTCCGGATTAGAGTCTGCCGCTCTTAACGACCACACCAAACTGAAAAGAGGAAGAGTCCAGTAGCACCGTAAAGACTAACAGAATTTGTGGCAGGGTACGTCATATCTGAAGAAGTGAGCAGTGACTCGTGAGATTTTGTTAGTCTTTAAGGTGCTACTGGGCCTCTTGCTCCTTTCTGCTGCTACAGGCTACCCATCTGGATCTGGTCCACAAATGCACACTGTCTGATTCAAGGCAACGGATGCCACTTGCCACTTTCTCCCAAGGCTTTTTCACGTTCATGCACAGGCAGATGGGGAGGGTTCATCTTGGGAACGCTGTGCCATCCTCTCGACCAGGGCTGCGGTTTCTTTTTGCACGTCTTTTGAAACAGGCAGACGAGAGCTATGTGGTTTGTGGAAACAACGGTCTTTACACTGCAGCCACTCCCTCCTGCTTGAAGGCTTTGTCCAAAGCTGCCACTTCCTTGTGTTGGAGCGGAATCCCCAATTCCTCTGAAAGATTCCGAAAGGGAGCAAGACAGACAGACTTAAACATGCCTGCAAAGGTGCCCTTCACAGTCATTTTATTTTGTGGTAGCCAGCAGCCAATTAAATTGGCTCCGGAAGATAGACAAAGGGACTTTTGAGTGCAGCAATTCAGATACACACATCATTAGATATCGGTAGCAACCTAATGTGCCTCATTGTTGCCCCAAACTCAGTTAAAATAGAAAAAAAAGATCTATAATTTCTCTTTTTAAATAAAAAAAGTTGACAGCCGTTTTCACCTTCAGCAAAAAAGTGTTAAATACACGCAGATACCTCCACTTCAAATTACAAAATGTAGAAAAAAAAGGGTATATTGTACAGTAATAAAAGACAAACTGATTAAGTACTTCAGTCCGTTCCAAAATACTTCTGTCCAAAGTGTGTTGGTGCAACAGGATGAACTTCTGTCGTCAAAATAGTGATATCTGGGAATTCCTGGATGATTGATTTGGCACCATGGGGTGTGGAGAACAGACTCAGCAGGATTATGACACTCGGCTGCACTCCGTGTTCTATAAGAACTTTTATAGCCTCGATCACAGTGTTGCCAGTGCTCAGGATGGGGTACATGAGGAGGACTTTTCTCCTGTAGATATCAGGTGGGAACTCTGCATAGTACACTTTGGCTCTCTGGGTCTCTTCATCGCTCTGGATCAGGATCTTCCCAATTCGGATGGATCTGCAGCAGTCCCACAAGCCCTGCTCCATTGCCTCGCCGCTTCTCATTATGCTGACTCCACAGTTCCCCTTCTCAAATTTTACCCCTTTGTACTTGTACCCTATCGGAGTGGTGACTGTGCATTTGGTGTAGGGCAGCTGGTTCAGCCCCTCTTCGACCACAAGCCTGATCAGGCGGTCAGCAGAAAAGACGAAGTCACCCCTACTGGCTGTCCTGTCGCGGATGATGGTCTGCAGCTCCCGGATCTGGCCGTTCATGGGCAGCAGCTTGAGTTGGGCGCCCAGCGGCGCGGGAGGGGGAGGATGCGCCGCCACCTCCGCCGCCGCCTCCGCGCAGGGCCCACCGTTGCTGCCGGAGCAGTAGCAGCCGCTGCTCCCGTCGCTGCTGTCCGGGCTGGGGCTGCTGCTGTCGCCCTCGCGCTCCGCGAAACGAAGCTGTCGCTCCGGCCCGCCCGCCCGCTGCTTGTGGCAGGGCATGATCGCCTCCATGCGCCCCGCCGGCCCTAAAATGTGCTGAAAAAGTCGGCTTATACTCGAGTATATACGGTAACTTTCTAAGCAGTACCTTATTAACAAACTGACTTCAGTGTAATTCACAAAGCAATAACTTCATAACAATAGCAGTACTAAACTAACAGAACAACAAAATTCTCAGCTTTCTTAATACACTTATACAAATAACAACTGTGGCAGCTAGTGAAATCAGTTTTGAAGCCTGGGTTTCAATGGATTTCACCTGAATGAACAAAGCGGCCTTATATGGAATCAGAAATGTGCTGAAAAAGTCGGCTTATACTCGAGTATATACGGTAACTTTCTAAGCAGTACCTTATTAACAAACTGACTTCAGTGTAATTCACAAAGCAATAACTTCATAACAATAGCAGTACTAAACTAACAGTTAACAACAAAATTCTCAGCTTTCTTAGTACACTTATACAAATAACAACTGTGGCAGCTAGTGAAATCAGTTTTGAAGCCTGGGTTTCAATGGATTTCACCTGAATGAACAAAGCGGCCTTATACGGAATCAGACCCCCCCTTGGTCCATCCAGGTCCATCTTGTCCCAGAATGGGAGTGGCTCTCCAGGGTCTCAGGCGGGGGTCTTTCCCATCACCACCTCTCTGATTGCATTAATTGGAGGCACCGCGGATTGAACCTGGGACCTTTAGCATGCCAAGCAGAGGCTCTGCCACTGAGCCACGGCCCCTCCCTTGCTGCTCTGCAACGGAGCAGCTATTCGCTCTTGGGACTCTGAGCTCCACTTGTGTTTGCTTGCTTTTTGCATCTGGATCTACCCCATTCTAATCTGCAGGCTTCATCCAATTATTTTATTTAACTACGTGCTTAGAGTCGTACTCCTGCTGACACAACCCTTTCTATGCGCTCCAAGGAAATGTTAGAGGCTCATTTCCCCCTCTGCAGATGAACTAGCGGTGCTGGGTTTTCAAACTACATTCAATGACCCAGAAGCCAGATGAGCTTCTATAAGCACCCGATAATTGAAGAGTGTTCCATGCCTCGGAACCCCAAGGAGAACCACGTGGCTCTGTAGGGTCCCAGTTTTCAAAACTGTATCTCCCCCCCACCCCAAGAATCCTGGGGCCCCTCAGTGCTGCAGCAACAGCAGACAAGTTTTCCTAAAAGTCAGCTTGTTCATCATTACTTAATTTCCCTGGCAACACACAGCAAAAAGGGGAGTGGCACTTTCTAAGACACACACAAGATTGTCTGGATTACAGCAGGCTGTGCGCCCAGAATGAATGAATTTTATTGTTACAGCGCATAGCCAGCAATATGTGCGCCCAGAGGTCCTGCAAGCAATTCTCAAAATGTTCCCTAATGTACTAAGCAGCACACATGGAGGGATCCCTGGCAGTTATACCAACATGGAAGGGGACCTGGGGCAGAATGACTGAAAGCCACTGTCCCACGGCCACAGAAATCCTCCTTTCCCTCTCCACCAGGGCTTCCAGCTGTTCTTTGGTCAGCAGGGTTTGCTCCCCACCCCCACCCCCGGTTGCATCCTCTCTACACTGGAAGGAAGGTCAAGAGAACTTTACGAGCCGTCCTATGATAGAGCTGCTCCACGAACACACCAAACTGTTAAGAGCTGACTGTTTGAGACCTTTTGTTTCTGTATGCAGTGTGTAAAACACACATGTACGGTCAAGACAAAAGAAGTTTCCTCTAGGGGCTGTAGCATGGATTTCTTGGGGAGACCCAACGGGGTTGCTTTTACTCAACACTGAAACAAAGCCAAGAATTCAGTCCCTTTCCTTTTCAGCCAACAGGACAGGCCAAGATTTGAAATCTTCAAAAGAATTCCATTTGGCCAGAAGGAGTCACCACTGAATGCCAAGCTAATGTATTGTGTCACCAGAAAATCTGCAGTCCTGATATCAGCTATTGCTTGGACGTACCATGGGGTGTGGAGAACAGACTCAGCAGGATTATGACACTCGGCTGCACTCCATGTTCTATAAGAACTTTTACAGCCTCGATCACAGTGTTGCCAGTGCCTGGAAGGGGACGAGGGGAAGGGAAGAGGAAAAGAGAAACAGGAATAACTGTAGATTAAGATGGATAGCTGTGTTAGTCTGTCTGTAGCAGCAAAAAAGAGTAAGAGCCCAGTGGCACCTTAAAGACTAACAAAGCTGGTGGCAGGGTAGGAGCTTTCATGAGTCACTGCTCCCTTCTTCAGATACAACTAGAATGTGAGTCCATCTGTCCTTATATCTTGAAGAGTGGAGTGATTTTCAGATGTTGAATGACAATAGCAAGCAAAGGATGATAGCAGGTGAATGACAATAGCAGGCGTGACTGGATTAGGTCTGATATGCAGGCGGGTAATAGGCGTGGAGAAATCAGCATTGGTAACGAGACCAGGAAACCTAGGTCTCAATGCAGTCCAGGAGGATACATTGTCTTGAGCTCCATTATTAGTTGCAATTCAGCAGTCTCGCTTTCTAATCTCCCTTTGAAATTCCTTCGTAAGGGAACTGCTACTCTTGAGTCAGCAACGGAATGTCCTAGATGGTTAAAACGTCCCCCCACTGGTTTTTGAATGCTGTGGTTTCTAATGTCAGACTTACGTCCATATATTCTTTGTCATAGGGACTGGCCTGTTATAAGTGTACTAAGATAGTTGTTGTGATCAGCAGCCTCATGCTGGGCAGCAACTCTCCCGCCTTCAGTCTGCACAGTACACAAGGTTGGAGTCAGACAGCTGAGAGATAAGCGGTCGGCATTTTTACAGGAATTCATTGTTCTATTAAGTACTGGTGTTAATATCGGAACTGTACCCACTTCGTTCCCTTTTGGAAGTCTTTAGTGGGACTTTGTGAAAGATTCTCTTCCTCCCACCCCACCAAAACTGGCACCTTCTAGCTGCGGCCACCTTCGGGATCCTCTTTTCTCGTTTGCCACCCAGTGTCTCAAATGGCATTAGTTTTCTACCGTCAGACCCACCATGAGTGGCCAAGGCGTGGCCATCAGGTGTCGTTCAGTTAAGGCACACGCTGGCAACGCAGAGGCACTCTGCTCCTGCCCCGTTGCCCACGGCCGGCCACACTCTGCCCGACCCACTTCCTTTCCAACAGAGCACCCAGCAGGGCTCGGTTCGGCTTTGCCTGCAAAGAATCCTTCAGGGCACTCACTCAGGATGGGGTACATGAGGAGGACTTTTCTCCTGTAGATATCGGGTGGGAACTTTGCATAGTACACTTTGGCTCTCTGGGTCTCTTCATCGCTCTGGATCAGGATCTTCCCAATTCGGATGGATCTGCAGCAGTCCCACAAGCCCTGCTCCATTGCCTCGCCGCTTCTCATTATGCTGACTCCACAGTTCCCCTTCTCAAATTTTACCCCTTTGTACTTGTACCCTATCGGAGTGGTGACTGTGCATTTGGTGTAGGGCAGCTGGTTCAGCCCCTCTTCGACCACAAGCCTGATCAGGCGGTCAGCAGAAAAGACGAAGTCACCCCTACTGGCTGTCCTGTCGCGGATGATGGTCTGCAGCTCCCGGATCTGGCCGTTCATGGGCAGCAGCTTGAGTTGGGCGCCCAGCGGCGCGGGAGGGGGAGGATGCGCCGCCACCTCCGCCGCCGCCTCCGCGCAGGGCCCACCGTTGCTGCCGGAGCAGTAGCAGCCGCTGCTCCCGTCGCTGCTGTCCGGTCTTCTTCTTCATCATCAACGACAGGCAAACCCACCTCAGACTGTCCCTTGGAAGGCTCACTGCCAGCACTGCCAAATGCATTCCTGAGCAGATGAATCAAAGGACCCGTCTTCCAAGTGTTTTATTAACTGGCCTCAATATCGTTTGGGTCCTGCAACACAATTGACTTTCCCTGATTACCTAAAGGCTGCCAATACAATCCAAGAAAAAGGGATGGAGAAGTTGGGCTTTGGGCCAAGGGAAATTAGAGTCTGCCTCCTTGTGGAAAATCTTTGAGTAGCACGCGCTGTTCCCTTGCACTTGCTGTCCATGGGGATGCAAGCCAAGCAGGGTTGTGCCCTTAAAACCAACACACAAAACTTCTCTGAGACAGATTTAACTGCTGGCTTGGAGAAGTCACTCTCATTCTGTCGTCACTCCTGTCACAGCCTTCTGTGTGAGCTTCCTTAGTGCAATTAAAGTCAAGCACTTTACACAGTCTTTGACCTCTGTCTGATGCCTCCTTTCCCCCTCTTTCTTTAAACAGGGCAGGGCTGCCAAGCCCCCCTCCAGGGGAAAGGTATGCCCCCCCCTCCCCACCTGGCTCAAAGTGACGGGCAGGAGGAAAAAAGTAAACAGAAATGACATCAGACCTCTCTAGGGCTCTCTGGAAAGTATGGTTTCACCACAGACTTTTCAGCAGTTCCTAGAGAGAGGTGGTTTCCCTAGAAGTGACACCATGCCAACGATGCCCCCAATGTCACCCACCCTCCTGTCTCCTGCTGATTGCCAGGCTACGCTATGCCCAGCAACCCTATCTTTGGAGACTGTACCATGGCAATACAATAGCAATACAATATGCTGCAGAAGGCGTGGATTTGAACACGTGACCTACCGCTTCTCATTATGCTGACTCCACAGTTCCCCTTCTCAAATTTTACTCCTTCGTACTTGTACCCTGTTGGGAAAGATACAGAATCTTTCACTGCAATTTAATATCCAACTTCCAGGGGGTCACACAAAGAACACACACACACCCCTCTCCCCCGCAGCTTCAGGGCAAGGGCACTTTTGAGACAGCTCAGCGGAATGTGTTCAAAGGACCCAAACCGACCTTTCTCTCGCTTCCACTCACCCTGGCTGCACAGAAGACAAAACGCAGCAGCAGCAGCAACAGCCCACTGCCTGATCTTGGTCTCATTATTCCCTCAAAGGGGGATTGTTGTGACCAGGAACATCGGGAGCGAGCCAGGCCCGGGCTGTGTGGGTCACCCCAGTCACGGGGGGGGCCCTCCTTGTGCTCCGCAGGTGATCTGTCCCTTGGATGGTGTCCAGAGACGACAGAAACGTGGTGAAAATACATCCCACACGCAGCAAGATCTCAGGGCGAGCCTGACCCATCACTGTCAGCACTGACAGACAGGAGCCTCACTCACACCTCTGCTCACTTGCGGCAATGCAGCCTGAAGGCCACTGACCACGAGGGCTGCCTGCGCGCCCCACCAGGAACCCCAAGCGCCTGATAAAGCCCACACTAAAGTGACCAGGCTGTTAAAGCAGTGGAACAAATCAGCCAAAGACTTCAGGGAAAACTGAAAGCATTTTTTACCGTCAACTTAGATAAGCATATGGAGCAGAGGTCCATCAGTGGCTATTAGCCACAAGGTATAGATAGGGACTCTGGGGCAAGTGATGCTCAGTCTTCTTGATGCTTGGGGGGGGGGTCAACAGTGGGAGGGCTTCTAATGTCCTGGCCCCACTGCTGGACCTCCTGATGGCACCTGGTATTTCTGGCCACTGTGTGACACAGAGTGTTGGACTGGATGGGCCTTTGGCCTGATCCAACACTGGCGTCTCTTATGTTCTTAACTTTTCGCCACCAGTCCTGAAGACAAAGCTGCTCACCCTCTACTGCTTGTGAAACAGTAAAAGCGCTCAATGTTGCCTTGGCGGGGATTTCACCAGTCTACAGGCACTTGGCTCCATGCGACTCTGGGGCAAGCCGAACAAGACCGCTCGTAGAGGATGTGGGAGTTCAATCTAACTAGGACATTTGGATCCGCCCCTCCCCCTGCGCTGCTCTTTGCCCTCCATTTTAACAGCTGCCCTGCGAGGCAGGTGTGGCTGAGAAAGAGAGAGAGAGAGACAGACAGACAGACTGGCCCAGTAGAACCTCAAGGGTAGGAGAGGTTTCAGATCTGGGCCTCCCGTGTCGTACACCAGCCTCGAAGGCCGCCTTGGCTCAAAGTACACCGCATGTCTTTCCTCAGCAGCAGCCCACAGTGCTGACTCACAAAGGCCAAACCCAGCCCCCACCAAGGACTCTCAATGACCCCCCTGCGTTATGGACAGCCGAGAGAGGAGCAGGGGCGGGGCTTCCCAGCTGCCCAGATGGGTCTTCTTCAGCCTGACAGGCCACGAATCCTGCAGACCTGCCTGAAGCTGCTGAGAGCCAGTTTGGTGTAGTGGTTAAGTGCGCGGACTCTAATCTGGGAGAACCGGGTTTGATTCCCCACTCCTCCACTTGCACCTGCTGGATGACCTTGGGCAAGCCGTAGTTCTGACAAGAGCTGTCCTTGAAAAAGAGCCGTTTCTGTCAGAGCTCTCTCAGGCCCACCTACCTCACAGGGTGTCTGTTGTGGGGAGGGGAAGGGACAGGAGTTTGTAAGCCGCTCTGAGACTCCGAGTGAAGGGTGGAGTTATAAATTCAATCTGTTCCTCTTCGTCTTTTAAAACAGACACAGCAGAGCTCCAATACCCTGTTTTCCCGAAAATAAGGCCTACCCAAAAAATAAGCCCTAGCAGGATTTCTATGCATTTGTGGTATAAGCCCTAGTGTGTCTTCTTGAGAAAAAATAAATATAAGACAGTGTCTTATTTTCGGGAAAACACGGTATCTACTTCTTAGCAGCGTCTCCACTTCTGCTTCCATTGCCGGTCGCCCGCAATGCACTCCTGCTTTTTAGTCCCACACCAGACCCTTCTAACCGGCGCGCCCACCCCCTCCCTCCCCCCTCTCTCTCGGTTACCTGTCGGAGTGGTGACTGTGCATTCGGTGTAGGGCAGCTGGTTCAGCCCCTCTTCGACCACAAGCCTGATCTGTGGAACAGAGAAAGGCGCTAAGAGCACGGGAGACCAAGGGGGCAAGCCGTCTCAGCAAGGCCCCAGAGTCCATTGGGGGGGGGGAAAGAACTTTCAAAAAAATCTGATTGCAAGAACCGAGGGATACAGCAGGCTGGGGGTGGGGTGGGATTTGTCCATCCTGATGCGAAATGAACCTGCCAAGGCAAAGCTTTCTTAGCATAACACCTTTTATTTGGGGCCCTCCTCCACGCTTTCCGGGAGTTACTTGACTTCTTTCCTTTCCTCTGGTCAGACTCCCTCCCTCCTCCTAGTCCAGCCGCAGACTTTAACTCACTACTTCCCTTAATGCCCTTCCTGACAGCCGGAGCCACCCCCCAGGCCTGCCCCTGCCCCAATGACACCCCCTTGGCTTGCTCCAGCTGGTTGTGACCCAGGGTCTTCCCAAAGAAGGGGTGCCCCCGTGAGTGTGGCCTCCACCATCAGCACTGCCACCGCTTCTCGCCGCTCCTGTGTCTCCTTCACTGGTGCCGGGACTGGCCTTGTCACACTGCCACTGCAGGTCGCCTCTCGCACCTTCAGCGTAAACGTGCCCTTGAAGAACCCCCCCCCCCCGCCGCATCACCTCAGTTAATAAACCCAATGAACTTTATTCCCCCATCTGGGCCTCCTAGGAATCATTCATCATGAAAGATAACATCATGCGAGCAAGACGTTTCCCAAGCCACTGCCTAATCTCCGAGTCACACAGCACAGTGCGCCGTGGAAATGGGAAATGAGAAATCCGAACACGGTTTCTTTTCCTTTCACCTTCGTGCAAAAGCTTCCAGCTCAGGCACCTTCCACATCGGGCTCATAGCTGTTAAACTGAAGTGGCAGCATTGGCTTGTCCTTCCTTTACGCACTCCGCATACGCTTGCCGAGCACAGTCATTGCTGCGCAGGTTCTTGCGTTTAGGACAGGGTCCAAAGGGTGCTTGGACACACCCACAGGACTCGACACTGATTTTCCCTGGACAGTAATCAACATGCAGGTCCCAAGTTGCCAAATGAATTTAGTATGCCGAAATTGGAAGAAGAACGTGCTGAAGACGCGTGCCCAAAGCATCTGCAGCACTTTGCACTGACCTGCTGCTGCCTCTTAGCCCTCTACTGAAAAAACCACAGCTGGGCTTTCTGCCTGCACCCCAGAATGCCTTCGCAATGAAGACCTCTCTCTCCCCCCTCTAGCTGGCAAGACACCCTCAGTGAGGGAACAGGAACAGAGACAAGCACAATGCGGACTGTTTCATGAGGATCCCTCCCAGCTTAAACTGCCATTGCTTCTCCTGCCCTACCAGAGAAAAGCTGTTATTCTTGCCTTTTGAGACACTCTAAAGCAGGGGTGTCAAACTCATTTGTTATGAGGGCCGGATCGGACATAAATGAGACCTTGTTGGGCCGGGCCATGTGTGCCATAAAATGGAATGCCAGGCAGCAGAGATATAAACTTTATAAAGGACACAAACACAAAGGGGTTTTTTTTAACTTAAAATAAAAACATGCTTAAAACATTAGCACTCTTGCAATATTTTCTTTATTTAACAGTGTCTGATTTTTTTAATAAACACACTTTATTGAGTTTTATAATCTCTCCGTTATAATAATTGAATAGCAACGTTCTATTTCGCAACGTTCTAAAATTTGGCCCCTTTAGTGTTAGGCCGGAAGAACTGCCACTCAGAAGACACTGGCTGGGTTGACTGGCTGCTTTGTGCAGTCCCGCCCACCGTTCCAAGGTCATTTGCATGTGGAAGCTGATTGGACTTCACTCCATTCCACACCTCAAACTCACCCCCCCCCTGGCAAGGCAGTTGGAATTTTCAGTTGCATAACATACCTCATAGGGGAGAGGAGAATGATGTCAGCTGCCCTTTCCCTAGGCAGAGGCTGTGGG